ACGAGTCACCAAAGGTATCAAGGGATAGAGGAAAACGTCTTCGTCACTACAAACTAAATCTAACACGATTCTTCAGGAATTACCATTAAATCGATTTGGAAAAATGAAAAAAGTAGAAGCCCCTCGTAAACCTAGGTACTAGTCTTGGTTTGGAAAAAGCACTCGAAACTCCTTACTTGAAATGATCTCGTTTGGACATTGTCGTCGCTGTATCTTGATTTTGCAACAACAAACCTCATTCAAAATGGTAAAACCCTCCCAAGTTCAAGTTTCAAAATTTGGTCTTGATTGACAATTTCGCTGCTGAACATGAATTTTGAAACTTTATTCTTTCAGATTAAGCATCTGAGTGACAGTGGATAAGAGCGGAGCTTGCTGTCGTGTCAACCTAAGATACTCGTAATTATAGCGAGTCCACATGTGCCTGGGGCACACTACTTAGGTGCCAGAGGTGCTATGATGGGTGAGAAAATTTCCGCACTCCGCGATTGGTAGGTCTCGATGAATGCGGCGCATATTATATCTAAAAAGCAACGAGGGAGCAGAGAAAAAGCGAAGCAGATTTTGAAATTATTTGCTGAAGCGTAATTTCAATAGAAAAGTCCAACTGAAAACTTCTCACTCTGCGCATGAAGTTGAATATTTTGTCTGATTTTTAAGGCATTCATACTCCAAAAATTCTTTCTTTAGCTTGACTTGAAATAAGCTTGAACAGTCTCTCATCAAATAACACCTATCGAGCCTCACAATCCTTGTCATTCGCTCATATACGAAAGAAGCTTATTTTACGAAGGATGACTAAGAGCCGCATGCATTGACATCCCCAATGGGAGTAAAAGCCTCTCAAAAGAAAGCTTTGCATTCTGAAGCTCTATATGTCCGAATTTGTCGCTGTCTGCCCATCCACATGTCTCTATACCTTTGCTATTAGTATACTGAAAATAAGGGAGGAGTCGTATGAGCCGCATACAGTGCTACAACTTTTGAAATGTCCTCGTTGATTTCGAAAAAGAAAAATGACTTGTAAGAGGAAACGGGTGGCAGCCGGGATTATCAGGGGATCACACAAGAAACTGAAAGATGCGGTTTGTACAATTCTCGCTCCTTCTCAATATGTTCACAAAAGAGTCGTAAAAGTATTTGCGGATAGAATAGACAGCGCAAAATCCAAATATCTGGAAATTCAGGATATGAAGCTTTCCCTTAAAATGCGATCCCTTTTCGAGGGCGGGGGGGGGGGGGGGGGGAGGGGGTAACGCATGCGGCAGTAATAGTAAGGAGCAAAATACCGTAAAAATGTTTGTTTTGAAAACACATTTATAAAACCGCGTCACTTATTAATTGTCCAAAGCGATTTCTCTTTTGTACATTCACTTGAACCTCCGCAAAACGCACAGAAGAATACATCGAAGGTACCCTCAACTGGATATGTTCCTTTGCCCTTGATTGATATACATGAGAAATTAGGACGTAGTTTGAGCCACTGAAAAATTTCGATCAAACTCGGGTGGTCTAACTGCTCATGCATAAGTATCTTGCGTAGAAGTGGGCGTTCTCAAGCACTGTTGGCACTAATAGACTTTGCAAAATTTCAAATACAAATTCTCATAACTCTGTACAATTTGTTTAGAGTTCTACTTGAAGCATTATGACGAAGTGGCGTTCATAGGGGGGGGGGAAGAGGGCGCTTCCAATCTTGAGGGTGATTAACGAAGTATTAAATTGCTTGCATGTAAAGTGTGCAAAAATGTGCAAGTAACTCGTCTTGATATTGAATAATCAATATATAATACTTTTCAGGAAACTCTGAACATTGTCTTGTAAATAAAATTCCATAGGAGCGATTGCCCACGTCTCCTCTCCTAAAATTTCAGGATTGTGGGAAAGATTGTAAAGCATCGCAAAAGTTTTTCGACGTGGCTAGCGCCACTCACCCTCCAAAAATTTTTTTTGTCGCCCTCTCCCCCCCCCCCCCCCGTCCCTCAAAGTAAACCTGGGTATGCCGCTCAAGGGTGTATGAATATTCTACAACAGGGTACTGAACGTAGCGCACAGTAAAACATACTTTTTATCTTTTCTCAAGTCCTACTCTACTTCATCTGACCAACTCAAGTTGTATGAAATGCGATGCAGAGATATTGCCAGAACATTCGTATTTTCTAGATTTGATAACACAAACATGATCCTTGCAAGCAGTGTCTCCAGAAATTGAGTCTCTGGATTGTGAGGTTCAGGCCGTCTCGAACTTGTATAATCTTCTACAGGCTCAATTCGCTTAAAAACCCAAAAGCCGCGTCGTTAGGCCCTGTAAGCAGCGCCGACGAACTGTTCCGATCTACTCAGGACATGCCAAGAAGGAAGGGCTGATCTGGGAAGACTTGCTGAAAAGCGAAAGAGAAACGGCAAGTCGTCCAGGAACCGGAAGGCGCCCCGCGTGCCACTTTGAGCACAATCCAAAAAGGCCTTATTGGTCAGGATTTCATTTGACTGACTGTAGACTGTAAACACGCCATTTGTCTATTTTAGCAGCTTTTGCGTTATGTGAAATGAGCAGTTGTGTGGATTAGTGAAAAATGAGCGTGTTTCGAGGCACAGTGTTTGGAAACTTTCTGCACTCACATACCAACTATGATTCTATCAGGTTGTAAAGAAAGTTCCCGGGCACTTGTGAAATTTTTTTCCAAACTGCTGTAACTTCAAGCAGATTGATCCTTTTTGAAAGCTGCGAACTTCGCTGCAAAGTCGATGTTGCCTACAAATTATGCTCAATTTGTAGGGTCCTCAGCGCTTTATTTCGGACCACCAGCGCAGTAGGGAAAAAGGTCGACTTAAAATCCTGCCTGTTAGTGCAAGAATTTCTCAGGCATGAAGAGAGCTGAAGAGCTCATATCCGATAGTTATGTGAAACTCTGATGGGGCTATTTATAGACTATGTCACAACTTCCGAGCACAGCCAATGCAAGATTTTTTTCTCGAAAATTTCAAAAAATCGGCCATTTTTGCACCTCAAAATGCCCCAGTTTTTGAGTGAGTTTGAAGTCTTGCTCTTTTCCACAAAATGAAATCTTTGGTTGCTGCAAATATTATTGGGATAATGTCTTGCACATCTTTTGGGCCCATCATCGAGGCGTGACTTCACAAAATCGACGCCGACTGCGAAAACAGGTACGGTCAAAGCCAAGTTTGACAGCTTGTAATTTTTGTGCGCGTAATGTAAAATCCGAGCACAGCCGCGGTTTCGTATACAGCCTCCTTGTTCAGAGTGACCAACCTTTGAATGGTTTCTTTGTTCACTGCGAAAAAGTGGCAGCAAAGAGAAAAAATGTAAATTTTCATCGTTGTACAATTTCCTTTTTTGGTGTGTAGGTCAAACACGGCTTGTCATAGATAAAAACTGAAAGCAAGCCCGGAAATCTTAGGCTTTCTCTTACAGAATCATATAAAATACTAGTCGGCAAACTTGGCTCCGCCCGGGCCTGTCAATAATATATTAGTAATCAGCACGCTCGATTACCCCCCTGTGCCAACTCCCAGCCCTGTAGCTCAAATTTTGCAAAAAATCGATAAAATCGATATCGATCGATAACGAAAAGTAGCCTATGACACGCTCCCTGTCCTGAAGTACATGTGTGCCAAGTTTGGTCCAAATCGGTTCAGAAATAAAAATTTCTATTCCGCACATACGTACAGACAGACAGACAGACAGACATTCAGCTTTATATATAAGATTCACCGTGTGCGAAGAAAATGAGTCTGAAAATGAATTTTTCCAAATCTGCCAGGGATCTTTCTTTACAACCTAATAGCTCGCTTTTTGCTCATGTTTACATACTGAACTCAAAAGCCACTGAATCAACAAGAATTTTTTTGCTTGAAAATCCAGAAACTTTGGTGGTAACCACTTTTTCTCAGTTCCTTGGAGAAGCGGAAAATTGCGTCATTTGATTTGTTCTGATTTCCACCAGAACTCGTAAACAACTTTCCTTTTTCTTATTATCAAATTTCCTAAATTTACGCTCTCTGTAAGAACAAAAGTTCAGCAACAGCTTGCGATCAAAGTTTTTTTCATGTCGCTAAAGGTAGAGAAAACAACCATGCCAATTTACATTAGCTTTTGGTTCGAGAACATTTGGACGTTTTGTTTCGACGTGCATTTGTAGCACAACTCTTTAGCTATCACTGTGTCACTTTCAAAATTTTTGCACGCTTGTAAACGCTCCAAAGAAAAATTGCAGACATCTGCAGCTGGATCCTTCATAGAAAAAATTTTTTGTTTCGGATCTCTTGGAGGCACAGTATTCCAAAATGAACTCACTTTGACGAAAACAAAAGCAAAGTTGAGAATTGAAAGAAGCAGAGGTAGCAAAGTGCCCTAAAGAAAATGTTTTCCTTTTTATAACGAGCTTTTCAAGGAAAAAGTTGCAGAAGCTACATTGAATGTTTTGAAACTTAGTAAAAATCAAAAGGAAAAACACAATAAAATCTGGTTTTTGCTGGATTGATGGTTTCTAGTTTGACAGCACGATAAAAGCGCGCAAAATTTGAATTGGAAGTACTATAGGTCAGAAACTTTCCAGACACCCTGGAAATGTCTGTACAACTTTCATGTGATGCCCTTTTGACCCCAAAAGTAAAGCATTTTGACTCCAGTAGCTCCTTTCCGGATCCCTACTCCCCTACTCAAGAGGGGCATGTGAGCGAACACCTTTGCGGTTTCTTCTAATAGATAAGCGCCTCTCGCTCAGTGCCCTTCATGTATGCGGCTCATGGAAAGACAGCAATAAGTTGGTACGATTGTTTGCCCGACAGTACGATATAGCTAGCTGTAACTCGCTAGAAGGCATCGTCACAGGGTTTACATACATTAAAAACTGGCTACAATCTTGGTCTATGGCTACACTATAAATTATTTGTGGAGAGGGTTTGTTTTCCCTCTGTAACTGGAAGTTCAATTGACAGGCATGATGAAGAGATGTTATTGGCTCTGCTCGTTTATGCACTCATATGTAGCAGCTCACACTTGCTATATTGGTAGATTTTTGACAAATGGCTCCTAAATTTACCTTACAAAGTGGCAGATGAAGTTCTTTGGTGTCGCTTATTTGGGCAAATTCTTTTGCAAAGCTCCAAAGGTTTGAGCGCTCTCGCAATCTGGAATTCAAATAATCCAGGAAATAGTGAAACACAAATGGCAACGGTAACCCACTCATAATACATTTTGAATATGATAGTGTCTTTGATAAAATTGAGGCAATCTTTGAAAATCCAGTGGTCGATTTTCTTGTATAGCGGATTACGCTCAGGTGGAGTAGCAACGTACATCTGAAAAAGTAAAAATCAAATGAAAAGTGATAGAGGATGTCCGTTGCCCTTGCAAAACGCGGTGTCAAAAATACATCACAAAACATCGAAACTTTTGAACTTTAGATTTTCTGACTGAACTTTGAATGCTTTGAATTTTAACTCGCATAAAGACACAAAGCATGTAGAGCTGTGGCAATCGGAAACTTACTAATGTTACGTCTTCTTTCTTACAATAATCTTGGAGTCCTCCCGCGATCTTCATACCGTCTTGCATATCTATAAGCTCACTCGGTCCAACGCTTTCCCAATAATAATAATCACGACACCATTTACCAGGAGAGACTCCCCATATATCCCAAAGAAAAGAAGAGACTGGAGTCTAAATTATGCTCATTACTACCGAAGAAAAGTTTAGAGATTCCAACTTACAATGAGGGAAAAGTAGAGCAACATTTTGATTGGTGCGCTGCTGTTCACAACGCTATTAATACCAAACTTTGCGGACAGCCAAAGATCAAATACGACAATGGTGCTGACGCGTTTGCTTGAACGCTGTCAATGGGACGATTAGTGGTCATCTCGTTTGTCATGTGAAATGTATTATAACTTGTGTAGTAACCTTTTCAACGTACTTGTATTCATTTTGTTACCGCGTGCACAGTTCATAATATTCCAGTTCTAAATAATGATGTCTGCCTTTCCGATCTCTGTCTATCTCTTTCTGCTTTTATACAAATTTTATAACTACGTATGTCCAAAAACTTCAGTCGTCTTCAAATTTCGAAATATGTGTAGAAGCTCAAACTTGAAGTACTCAACTAGTCAACAGACTAGTTACTGCCTGTCCTAACTCAGTGATTTTTACACAAAAAAGCAACATACAAGGTGTCCCAAAAGTATGTATACACTGTTTGATCGTTGATATCTTTTTTCCATAAAAGTCTTTTGCTTAGTTCAATACCATTTTGTGGAGCTGGCTTCAACTTGAATTTACGGTATGGAGAGAGTTCAACATCACTCTTTGTTACCGCATGATTACGGTAGGAACTTCGGGAAGGGTTTTGAGAATTGACGGCACTGTTTCGTCACAGAAAACATACCAAACAATCCTCTCTTACACTGAGCTAATTGGAACCGCTAAAACTAAATATAAACTTTGCTCTTGACAAATGCTTCATTCACAAGCTATGTCAGGTAAACCGCAGTGACTGTTTTCACAATGTTCCCCAAAATTGTGATACACCATTTAAAAAACATTAAACACTCGTAAAAAGTTGAATAATGGAATCAGCATGCGCGAAAACCCTGATGCACCGCTTTGAAGAATTTTTGGAAATTTCATTCGAAACACGACTAATTCACAAGCATGCTGTAAGGTAAAAGCTTTTACAGTAATCTCACAGTAACGAGGAGTGATCGGTGATTCGCTCCAAACTATAAATTTAAGAGTTAAAGCCAGCTGCAAATTTTAGAAGCTCTGAAAAAATGGCAGTCAAGGTTAGGCAAAAGTCCTTTTGAGAAAAGGGATATCAACGACCAAACAGTGTATACATACTTCTTTTGGAGCATCCTGTAATACGAACAATTTATCTCATTTAAGAACTGCACTATATTCTCTAAAACTCTTCTAAAGGTGCTTAAAACAATTCATACTTCTTAACACGTTTCGGACCGCAAAATCGCGCGCTTTGAAAACACGTTGAGTACACTTTCGGCCATTAGCCAACAAAAGGACCTTATTTCGCAAACTGTGTGCTGTATCTATAATCAGCTTATCAGATAAGTTCCATACTCGACGTTCTGAGTGGATTCGAAATGTTTAAATTTTGTCGTTTGTGAAGGACTTCTGTGCTTCCCTGAAAGATAGGAACAAGAACTCAGTTTCTAATAGTATCCAAAAGTATCTATGTTGTAGGCGATACACATCAGTATTGAAACTACGGTTTTTCTCTTTGGTATCGAAGCAAAGGGAAGTTGCGACATCGCACCGTCGCTCGCGTTGCCGCACTTCGTTGCAACTGTTGTTGGATTTGTACTCATATCTCCTAAACAAATATCGGCGGCACAACTCTACAGAGTTATTCAAAAGTAGAAGCTTAGGCCTTTGACTTGATAGCCTTGGACTAGAACAAAACCTTCTGTAAACGTCAAAAAGATCCTTCAAAGCAGGGTGCTGCACCATGTGCAGCACCGGTCCGAAACGTGTTAACATGCAGTCGTAATGAAATTATTACCTTCTTCAACCGATTTCATAATGGAGAGAAGGCGCCATAGTTTTACCATTAGTGTGCGCTCCAACACAATTCTGCGCAAGTCCTCAAAAGCTAAGGAACTTTTCCTCTACCTAAGTATCAAATTTTTCTCAGTCCACAGTGTACAAACAACAATCAGACATTGTGCGTACCCGCAAGGGGGAGTAATATGGTTGTAAGGTAATCTTCATATTTCAAACATGAAAAAGGCTTTTCTTTCTTTCTTACTTGAACAGTCTGGTATGTCAAAACGCAATCCTTATCGCCCAGGCTGGGCGCAAGGTGGCTCTAACAGCTTCTTGTGGACTGAAAGAGAGAAAAAAGAAAATTAGAACAGAACGTTGAAGAACGCTTTGAAAAACTGCAAAGAGACTAAGATGTTTGTTGGTACTATAAGTTCTCTTTTCTTGTATCCTGGGCATTTCAGCTTACAATTTGAATGTTCACTGTTTATGATTTGTCATTATTCTTTTTATTATTGAACAATGTTTTTTTGAATAATTTTTATCACGTTCAATAATGTTATTTCAAACGCCTATTGTTTAGTTCTCTTAACGGTATGCTGTGTTCGCGGGCACCACCAAAGCAGCATTGCAGCCACCACTGACGAAAACTTCGGGGGGGGGGGGGGGGAAGGGTAAACCAAACGAGAGTTAGGGGTTTGAGTCTATCCAAGAACAAGTTAGAGTTTGGGATGTACTTAAATTTATATACAAAGTATGAAAAAATCTAGTGAAGAGAGCATTTAGGTCTGAGCCATTTCAGATGCCTCTCCAGAGCCATGAGCTACTTAATTACGATACAAGTTTGCCACGCTCTGTTTACGTGTCCGTCTCTTATATTTCATAATTCCATCACATTGCGCATCCACCACCAAAATTAGTGGCTATCATTCATTTCGTCTTCGTTGCGAAGAAGCCTTTTGCTTACCTTAGGGACAGTTGGATCTGTGCGCTTGCACGGAAAGCATACGGCGTCGGGAAGTTGTTAATCGGAGAGGGATCGGTAAGAAAAATGCGTCTCCCGAAGATGAGGAGGTAGCATAAAAAAGGTGATTGTTGGGAGTAATATGTATGAGTATGGCTCACGTGTCAATAGCGGGATAAGTTTTATTTGCAAGGGGGAGGACTGTAAAAACTGTGTTAGGGGGCATGGAGCTGGGGTCTACTCGGTCTCCTCGAAGCATTTTACTCGGTCAGTTTCATATGTTAGGTTGCCTCATAATCAATGCGTGTTTTCTACATTTTTTTGCATTTTGAAAAAAAAATCGAGACAATTTTTCGAAACCGTCCTCCTGAGCGCAATAAAAACTCAAACAAGTTCGCAAGAGGTGTGGCACACAACCGCCGATACGACCCTTCCCCCTTTTCTTGAATTCTGTTTCAATACCCCCCTCCCCAGTAGTATCGTTTGCCTACTGTAGTCATGACATGAAGGCCCTACCTAGCATAATTAATAACATATCTGTAAAAATTATGTCAAATAAACACTGTGGGCCAAGTTTTAGCGAATTCTGGGGATTCCCAATATTAGGCCGCCGAAGTGAAGTGATCATTTTCAAACATGGATGACTAACTTTCAGAAAATGAATTAGCTTCGCTTTTGTAATAAGTACAAAGCACCACTCTCTATTTGCCCAATTGAGAGCCAGCCAAAATCTCGCTTGTCTTATTTTTTGCTTACAGTGGCTGTGCTTCCAGCAACTATTGCTCAAAAGAAAGAAGACGAATCCAGCTCTATTTGTTTCTACAAAAACTTCGAGAATTTGGCTATCAAACTGCACTTTTGTTCGCTAACATTCTCTTTGGAGGTAGGTTAGTGTGGTATGGCACGACCCCAAAAAAGCGGTGGCTGCCACACGTTTTAGAAGCTGTGCCCACTCCATTACTAGCCTTGAGAACATTCAAATACCTGCGTTATTTATATCATTGCCACTTCTAGACCTTCTTCTTTACACAATAAGAATTTCATTCAAATTAGTTTCTTCTAGGGAAAGATACAGTTTTTTCGTACCTATGCAAAAGCAAAGTACAACGAAAAATCTAAAAAGTTCATTAAGATAAATTGGTCGCTTTCAGCAAATATTCAATAAGATCTTTTTTTCTGAAATGTTTCAGCAGTAAATTCTTGGAAAGATTATAAAAGAAGGCTCAAAGCACCTGGCTGCCGCTTGTTTGGGCGCATAGTGTCAAGAAATTTAACATGTCAACTACAATTTTCAACAGTTTTACCACGAATTTGCTTAGCCCACCTACGATAAGTTCAATTTCTTTTTTTCAGCAATAACTTCATTTTCATTCAACAATTTTGAAAATAAACATTTACGTGATAAGAATGACATACTGCGTTTACCAAACAAATTAATTGCTCAAAAAAGAAGTGGGCAATTGTTTCATGATCTAGGCGGCGAAACAAGCGGCTTTGGTTTTTTGGCTTCCTTACAAAACCGATGAACAGCTTTGAAAAACGCCTATATCACCGGAATGATTCTAAAAAATGTCGAACTGAGCTCAAACGTGCTGTTATCCTGACGCGTGACAGGACATAGTTCTAAGCATTCTGAAAAAATTGGCAGACAGAAAGACAATACTTGAATTTATGGAATCATTTTTTTCAAAGATCTTGTTTCTCGAGAACTCTTTAAAAATACGCTCAGATGACAGAAAGTGCTAAAACCGTTATTCTTTAGTCCGAGTTAGATTGACTCAGAAGTCTGCTTGCACCTTTTTAGAAATCTAACTTTCTCGTATATTTATGGAATTTCATGAAAGTTCTTTTGAAGCAAACATAATGCGCTTTATAGCAAAGTGATGTAAAAAGATTTCAAAAACTCATTTGTTCTCATCAGCAACATGCTTAGCACTGTTGTGTTAGATGTTCAGTACAACTTTGGAAGGTCTTCGTTAACTTCGGAGAAAGAAAAATGACTTTAAAGAAAAGCGCCGGGGATCATCAGGGATCATACAAAAGCTGGAAAACGGTTCGTACACCTTCTCGCTCTTCTTCAACATGTTCGTAGTGAAGGATAGTAGGAATACTTACGGATAGGTACACAAAGTGAAATCCAGGTATCTGGAGTTTCGAAATATAAAGCTTTCTTTTGAGCTGCGATCCCCTCCCCGCGGAGATGTTAGTGGATGCGGCCCTTAATTTGATAAGCCTTGTAGCCTGTTTCAAAATTTTCATATTTTGAAACAAAAA